ATCCTTGCCTGTCTATATTTGGTTAAGAAGAGGGCAGTAAAAAACTAATCGGAACTCTTTGTGCCTGTGTGGGACTGATCAACTGGTGGATGTTGCTGTGGGATGATTGGTGAGCGTAGAGGTTTTTAATTGAATTCTCAGCATGTTAGTATGTGTTGTATCTTCAGGTTCATTTACTACAGCAAAGGGTACTGCCACCTCCTGCCTTGGGGTATAATACTGGCTGCTTGAGCCCAAGGCTGACGATGGGCAAGGCTGGCGTTTCAGCATCCGTGATGCAGATTTTCACTTGGCCCCTCTTTTTTCACCTTCACTACTGCTGGGCTTCCCTGCTGGCTCAGCAGAATCCATCTGCTAGTGCAGGAGACGTGGATTTGATTGCTGGGTTGAGAAGATCCTCTGGGAAAGGAAATAGCAACCCACTCCAGTATTCTTGCCTGGTAAATCCCAGGGACAGAGAAGCCTGCTGGCTACAGCCCATGGGGCCGCAAAGAGTTAGACACAACTTAGCAACTAAACACCAATAACAACAGCAACAACAATTGCATCTCTACTGTCCTCTGTGGTGCTCATTCTTCCTTGTCTGGAGACTTTCCAGTTTAAGTTCTCCAGATGCTGTTCAGAGCGATGTGTGAGCAGGAGGCTTAGATTTTCCCATGGTTGACGAGTGGGATCCTCTTCAGATCCACCCCTGAGTTATTCTGGTGCTCTGTTAGTCTTTGGTAACATTTTTGCTGTTATGACAAGATACTCCAACATCACCTTCTATATTCCCTGTCTTGACCTGGAATTAAACCTTCTCTCCAAGCATTCTTGGTTCCTTTTAGTCGAAAATGTTATTTAGAGGCAAAACCTCAGTGCTGAGATACTCGTTGCTACTAAATTGTGGGGGGCCTTTTCAATGGGCAGATCTAGGAACTATTTATTTTCAAGGCAAAATTAGGAACTCATTGTGATATTTCTCCCGAAAATCAGGACAAGGCTTTTATTTACTGTGTCTGGTTTTACGTCTATACTCCCTTTCCGCTACACTGCGAGTCCTAGCTCCCAATGTCACCAAAACGATTGAATCAGAATATCATATACTTGCACATTTGTTTCTACCTGCAGAATACACAGAACAGTGACAGAATATAAATACCAACATTTCAACCAACAAATGATTACTGCAAATAGTTAAAAAAATTTTTTTTGGTAGTTCTTTCTGTTTTAGAGTCTTTTCCACTAGGTATGAGCTGTCATATTATTGTACTTTAAAATCATCTGAATTGGTTCTTTTCTGTATGGCTATGATACCAACCAGATATACATTTGGGTTCATTTCTTTTTAGCTTCAAAAAGGGGTCTTTGGAAACTTAATTTTATTTTATAGTTTTTAAGATATTTATATGATTTCAAAGTCAAGTCTATGAAACAAAACAATTCAAAGGACTTTAGCCTTTACTCCCGTACTCTTAGCTCCATCCCCTTCTCTCTTTTTTATAGGTAACCGTTTGTTTCTATTTTAGCATATACATGGCTATATTTTAAAATACATATATTTTTAAAAGCATGTGTATATTTAATATATGCATAGATGTATGAATATACATGTCTTTGTGTATATACAGACACACACATATATAAGCAGCATACATATTCACACAGTTGGCCTCACATATCCATGGGGTCTGCATCTGCAGACTCAACCAACTATAGAGTGAAAATATGTGAAGAAAAAAGAAAGTTTCAGAAAGTTCCCCAAAGCAAGACTTGAACTGGTACAACAACCCAGTCCCTTGCCATCCTATGCTTGAAAAATTAGACAGTTTTCTTCTCCCCTGACCTCCTTGCCTCCAACCTCTTCTGTATTCCATAACTAGATAGAAAATCTTAAAATATTTATTTGACTTAGTTATTTTCCCATGAAAAAAATCTCTGGTAGTTTCTTGATGTATCAAAGATAAAATCCGTCTTTCTTAACTGGTGCAACGACACCTCCCTCTCCCTCCAGTCTTATCACTAGCCTTCTGGCTCACCTGTGCACACTTCTGGTTTCAGTTACACCATCCGGAACACTCAGTTTTCATGTGTCCTCCTCCATGTCTTCGTGCAGGCGATTTCCTGTCCCTACAGAGTCCTTCTTTTCTTCTCTGTGCATGTTGGTTGCATAGATTTTCAAGACTGCTTTGGTCATCTTGCAGAAGCAGAACAGGATGGGTCATCATCCAGCGTTTGGTTTCCACCCACAATGTGGTTTGAATCTCAAGACTAATGATGTCATGCCTGCACCAAGAGGGTATGTAAAGATCTAGTTCTCACGTACTGGAACTTTCTATGGAGAGCAAGACTGATTCTGCTTTTATTGTGATTAGGGAGTGGGGTTAGGATGAGGGATCCCACATAGGCCAGGGCTTGTGTGGTTTCTATTTATTTCCACCACCAAAAGAGGCAGCATCCGAGTTTCTTATCAGCTTGCCAAGATGTGGGGCAGAAAAGATCCGGGAGTGATGGTGCTTGTAAGCGCCCAGCTGTCATACAACAAAAATGGAGTCAGACTCTATTACAAAGACCCCCACCCAAATCCTTCTGAGCGCCCCAAGTCACAGAAACCCCGGCATTCAGCTTTGTTGCCTCATATGTCATTCACCTTTTCTGATCTTTGACTGATGGAAATGAATTGAATTATTTTAGAGTCATATGCCTAGAGGTGAATCCAAGTTGTGTAGATCCTGAAGCTTATATAGCTTGGGGTGTGGCCCTCTTAATGAAAAACAGTACAAACTAGGTATGAGGGCTTGGAGGAGGTTGTACTTGACAAGGGCCCCTAAGCTTCATCAGCTGCACGGTCAGTCTGCCTCCGCGTTGCTCTAATGCATTAAAAACAAACATTAAATATACATGTTGTACATTTCATTTTTTTATTGGTCACAGTTCTGAGTTTTTATATTTGTATAGATTCTTGTAACCACTGTGACAATCAGGATACAGAGCAAGGCCAACACCACAAAGAATGTCCTTCCTTATTCAGACCCTCCCCCAACCCCTCGTATATTTTGATTTTTTTCATGACGACACCTTGCATCTGTAGGAGTTTTTTGTTGTTGATAGTAATGTTAAGAAAAATTGCATTCTCTGTTCTAGTAGGAATAGATTCTTGGTGATGAACAGAGGCATTTAGCATATGCTCTGATAAGGATTACATAAGACGCCTCCCATACGACTTAAGTCAGAATTTATGAATTAAAAAAATGACCATATTTTGGTCTGAGAACTTCATTGATGAACTTTGTGAAATTCGACTAGTTTTAGATACCTCCCTTTGGTTGACATTTGATTCAATTGGTACAGCATAATGCCTTGAACATGTAGATGTTTAATAAATACTTGGTGATTTAAATTAGTGACTAACTGGCTGAACCCAGGAGTTAAAAAGGCTAAACTCTAAGCAGTGTTCTTTTAAAAGTGTACACTTTTCCTTATCTATTCTTTATGTATGTGTACGTAAGTAAATTTACAAGTTTAAAGACAGATATATTTCTCTTCTTTTAGAGTTCTAGAAACAAGATTAAGACTCACAGTACTGCAAATAAGATTGTTTAGGGAGGGCTAATTGCTCAAATCTAGAGAAAGCTAGTTTTTCTCAAATGAAGCAAGTTGTGAAGAGAGAAGAAAGTCTTTTGCTAAGATATCAACGGAAATACATAACTCCCCTGTAGCCTAAATGCCCCAGTGTCCCAAACACTGGAGAAGGAAATGGCAACACACTCCAGTATTCTTGCCTAGAGAATCCTGTGGATGGAGGAGCCTGGTGGGCTGCTGTCCATAGGGTCGCACAGAGCCGGACAGGACTGAAGCAACTTAGCATGCATGCGTGCATTGGAGAAGGAAATGGCAACTCACTCCAGTGTTCTTGCCTGGAGAATCCCAGGGACGGCGGAGCCTGGTGGGCTGCCGTCTATGGGATCACACAGAGTCAGACACAACTGAAGCGACTTAGCAGCAGCAGCAGTCCCAAACACTTCTCCCTAGTACATATCAGACTGATCAGATCAATTTTCCCCAAGCTCATCTGCAACTGATGAATACCTAATTTACTATTTTGGAAGAACCACTACTCCTGGATCCTAAATTTCCACTTAGGCCTGAAATCGAACATGGCTTTTCAAACTGGGAAGGGGGAAACAGAAGGCTTTTCTCTCTGCCTTAATGCCTGATGATGAATTGTTTTCAAATATCACTGTGTACTTGACCTTCAGCGGGAGATCATGGTGCCTTGGTTTGCTCACTGCAGAGCAAAGAAGGGTCACACAACTGGATCTCCCAGATAAAAGTCCAATTAACCTCAAAATAGTTGCTCACAGAGTCGAGAGAAGCAGCAGAAGGCACTAGCTTTAGCTCCCAAGTGCATCTCCTTTCCCTGTGATTATATTTAATATTAACCAGAGAGTGTTAATTCAGCCCAAGAGGAAGGTCAAGAGCTCTGTTCCCTCTGTCTCGCCACCGCTCTCTGTCTCCCCATCACAGTCTCGTCAACAGCCAGCTGGCTTGCTTGTTTAGCGGGACTACAAACAGAAGCACTGGTGAGAATTTCTAGAAAAAGCAGTGCTAGCAGCAGCTGGCCGTCAGCCAATGTAGAGTTCTCTGGAGAACCCCAGACATTTTTATCCTCATCTGTAGGCCTGGGGTTTGAAACAGTGTGATCATTCCCAGAAGGAGAGCCCAGGTTGACAAAAGGCGGTCTTGCGTAATAGCACCATATTACGTTTTTAAAAACTGGCTCGCAGTTGCTTTATTCACATGTCTGTGAAAGATTTATCTGCATAGACCAGACTCAGCTGTAGATTATTTCCTATTGTGTCTAAAATGATAAGACTAGTTATTTCTTGTGTTCAACCCTTGTGGGGAATTAGGTGTCCATCCCTTTGCCTCTTTGGTTTCATTCTGCTTAACTCCCAGGCATTTACTATCATCCAAGTTGTGTTTGATTAGCATAAGCTAGATTTCCCACAAGAGCTCTCCTAATACATTTCTTCTTCAATCCAGTCCCGCTTGGACGCAGTAAGCCCCTTTTGTTCATCTAGTATTTCATTCAAATGGATACCAAAGAGAGACGTGTGTGATCCTTGGCGCTTGGCGATGACGAGTGGAGGTGACGGGATGCGGTTCAGAAACCAGTGCAGGAGCAGCGAGCGGAGTGGCGGAGGCCGGCCGCCGCCCCAGCTGCGGTCCTCACCATCCATGCGGTCAGCCTTCTGCTTGGGGACGAAAAGGACATCAACGGAGTTGTGATTTCTTTTTTTAAAGAGCAAAGCCTCTGTAAAATTCGATCAAGTAAAAGGCTTCGTTGCAGCGGTGAAGAATCTCTTGGCTACCCGAGGACAGCAGGCGAGGAGTGAAGGCCCTTCTCTTTCAGGAGCTGCATGGCCTTGCCCTCTCACGGTGTATCTGTGTGCTTTGCGGGTTTTGCCTGGGAGCGGCAGACTTTTCTGCAGCTGTGGGGATTCTTTGAGACCAAGGTTGAAGTTGGGACTGCCAACCCAGGCCCCCTCTGTTTGAAGCTTTTCAGACGCTACCACTAGCAGGAATCCGGACTGCAAGCCACGTGAGGACTGGCTTAGGGTATCTGCTCGGCACCAACACCCAGAGAAATGAGACCCTTGTTTCTGCTTTCTGTAGAGTGGGGTTTATTTCTCTCTCATCTGTGTGTGCACGGAAGGTGTGGTCCTCTGGGGTTCCAACATTATGGGAGGGGTCTTCACTCGGATTCAACCCATCTTGATTGGGTCCCTGGTTCACTGCACAAGCTCAGAAGCTCCATGGTTTGGCAGAAATTTTCAGGGTGAAAGCCAGCTTTGGCATTCATTGCTGACCAGGGTCCCTGCTCTGATTCCTTTCTGCAGAAAACTTTATTTTTTGCCAACTCATTGAATTTTTTTTTAGTTAGCTGCTATTGCAGTTGTCTCAATCCACGAGTTTTGGGGAAGATCAGGAATTAATCTCACAGTGTCTCTGCTTCTCTGTGAATTTCTCTCTGTGTTCCTTTCTCTGTCAGGCTGACTTACTTTTAGTCTTCCAGAATTCCAGCTTATTGTGGTTTGTATAAGGAAGGCCTTTTTAGTTCTGGTGCTACTTCTGTTTCTGCCCTCACTGCTCTTGGCCCGCATCATTCCAATTCCTAAATGAAATTGATGAGGGAATCTAAACATCGAGCAGAGCCATTCAGATTCAGAGGTCATCGGTGACTGCCGCTGCTGGGCTGGAGTCCACCTTCCTTTCCGCCGCTGTGGTCAGTGTGTGTGTGTGTGTTGTCAGGAGTGGGGGAGCACGGGCCCTGTCTTATAAAACATGGTCACCATTTCTTAACAGGGTTGTGGGCACATGGTTTCCACTAGAAGAAGGTATGGGAAGGAACCATAAAGCATTTTTAGTACAAAACCTATAAGAACAATCCTCCCTCCTCCCCTGCCTTAAAAACAATAACAGGAAAGAACTGGATGGAGTCAAGGCAGAAATGGTTTCTATAAAATCCATCCTTAAAGTGAGATGGATGGTTCTTGCAAGATGATAACATGACAGCCATAGTAGAATCCTGCCTTCATACTTGTATCATGACCTTTAAATCCAACTCCCTGTTTATGCCATTTTGAAAGACCATGAAATTATTGCAGAGACACATGAGGGCCAAAATAGATTCACCACAAGCAGTTTAGAAACTACTTTAGCAACTTTTATTAAGTAGTCTTTTTTGAAGTATTAACAAATGGCCAAGAGCTCATTTGAGATGCATATTTGTATCTCTGCACTAGTGTTATAATAAAATAAGGTCCAGCATCCATTCCACCTCTCCTTCCAGCTACAGTCGTTTGACAGCTAAACTTGTTGAAAGAGTTGTCTATAGGCCCTGCCTCTACTTTTCTACCGTCCAGCTTCACTTCACGTCACTAAAATGTGTGGCACAATCCTGAGCACAGAAGCGATGTCACGGGAATGGGGACCCGTTTGTTTTGTTCACTACGGTATCTCCAGCAGAAGCAACAGTGCCTAACGCAACAGGCACTCAATGGGTGTTTGTGGAAGAAACGATAACTGTGATGGAACACTAACTACCCATTTAAGTGAAAATACTTATGGAAGTGTTCAATAACATTAGGAAATGCTGAAATAGGGAAAAGAGTAGAAAATATTTCATATGATCTCAGCTATTACCATGCATGGGAAAAAGACCAGAAGGAAACACTCTGAAATGTTAACAGTGGTTCTCTGGAGCCGGATTATAAATGGTAATTACTTTCTTTTTGTCTGTTTTTTTTTTTTTTTCCATTCTGCCAGTCTTTAATAATGGCAGTTGATGTCATTAAACCAAAATGAAATCCAAGCAATAACATAAAGGATGTGGCTTAGTTTTTCAATGCACCTTACTTTCAGGCTTAAATAGCAAATATTATTATACTTATTGAAGATGATGTACTGGATCAGATCACATCTGATAAATGGAGATTAATTGTTCTGAGGATAATGGATTTATTTGTACCTATCATTATAATTGTTTGTCTCATCTTTTAACCAGACAACAAACACTTTACTACGAGACAGTGGTCACAACAACAAACATTTATTATTGAATGGTAAATGTGTACAGCACAGCCATTATCTTATTTAAGCCTCACACTAATCCTCTAAGGCAGGGGTCCTGAACCTCTGGGATCTAATGCCAGATGGCCTGAGGTGGAGCTGATGCAATAGTAATAGAAATAAAGTGTGTAATAAATGGGATGCACTTGAATCATCCTGAAACCATCTCCTAAGCCCAGGTCCGTGGAAAAAATTGTCTTCCACGAAACCGGTCCCTGGTGCCAAAACGGTCAGGGACCACAGCTCTAAAGAAAGTGTGATTAGTCCCAATTTTCAGTTGAGAAAACTGAGGCATAGAGTGTACGGAACTGGCCCAGCATCACAGTCTTAGCAAAGGCCCAGATCGAGTTCTGAACCAGAGCTCTAGGGATCATGGCTTGTATCAGCACCCTTCCAAGTGGCTTGTCCTACCTGCTGAGGCATGATGCTCAATCCAACCTACACACTCCACCCAGAAACCCACCCAATGCAGGAACTTCCAGGCTGCTGCCCACACTGCTGTCCGTGGGCTGTTTTCCCACCATGGTTGGCTGAAGCGGCAAAAGAGCTCATGGTTGGCTCAGGTCAGGCTGGGTGTTGGGCTAAAGTGAGAAGCACTTGGTGCAAATGACTTGAAGAGTTGTCGTTGCTGAGGAATGTATAAAACCAAAATTATACTTTAAAGGGCTTCCCTGAAGGCTCAGCAGGTCAGGAATCCGCCTGTGATGGAGACCCAGGAGAGTAGAGTTCGGTCCCTGGGTTGGGGAGATCCCCCGGAGGAAGAAAATGGCAATCCACTCCAGTGTTCTTGCCTGAAAACTCTCATGGACCGAGAAGCCTGGCAGACTACAGTCCGTGGGGTCGCAGAGTCAGACATGACTGAGCGACTGACATGTGCGGGCTTTGGATGTCTGCGCAGTACACAGATAAGTGGGAGCCCTGTGGACCCCCATCTGGACCAGGGCACCGCACGTGGGCGGCTGCGGGTGCAGACGGGGAGCAGGGTGGGTAGCGGAGCAGCCGCAGCCGTGACCCTTGGCCTCACAGTCTGTGGGCATGCCATTCGGAATAGAACTTTCCTCTTTTTTTTTCCCAATTGGGAAAGTTATACGCACACGGTAAAAAAAAAAAAAAAGTACAAAATTAAACATGGTGACACATCATCCCCCACCCACAACTCTCATTTCTTCTTCCCAGAGGCAACCACTGTGACCTGTTTCTTAGGTATTCCTGCAGAAGAATTTTATGCCTAAAAGTATACTCAGTATTTATGTATATGCTGTTTAAAATGCACACTCAAGTAATCGCTTCATCCATCTCCCATTTCTCCTCTTAATACACCTTGAAAGGGCTACCATAAACAGCTGTGCGCAAGGCACTTGGTCCAGCGGAGAGCGGAGGCTGAGATTCGATAAACTGTGTTCTCTGGCAGGAGGCTAGGGCAGCCTGGAAGAGGAACACTTCCCTTAATCTGCACACAGGTACCACCGTGGGCTTTAGCGTCTGTCTAGATCCACACACATTCACCTACTTTACTCTTTTTCGTCGCTGCAGAGAGTTTTGCTGTAGCAGGGAACAGTTCTTTCGTTTCCAGTGGGTGGACATGTGCGTTCTTTCTAATCTGTTGCTTTTAGGAAAAATGCTGTGATGAAGTTCCTTGCATAAACATTTTGGTTCTCTTGAGTGAGCACACCTGAGGGGTCAGTCGGGTATGTCATTTTTGAGATTGCGAAACATTTGGTTTCAAAGAAACAAAATACATTGATTTGAAAAGACCTGAACTCCAAGGTATTTGGTCTTTAATTTTTGTCAACAAGAGTGCAGATTCCCCTCCATCCTCAGCCTTGATAATTGACTTCCAGCTGCCAAGAGAAGTGTTTGCTTTCTTCTCTTGGGTCCTAATCGTCCACCGCAGGTGCCTTTTCTCTCCTGACCCTGCCCTCGCCACCCCCCGGACCGTTCTTACCGCCCCCGGGACCGTTCTGACCGCCCCCCGGACCGTTCTGACCGCCCCCCGGACCGTTCTGACCGCCCCCCGGGACCGTTCTTACCGCCCCCCGGGACTGTTCTTACGGCCCCCCGGGACCGTTCTTACCGCCCCCCCCCTTCTTACCGCCCCCCGGGACCGTTCTTACCGCCCCCCGGGACCGTTCTTACGGCCCCCGGGACCGTTCTTACCGCCCCCCGGACCGTTCTTACCGCCCCCCGGGACCGTTCTTACCGCCCCCCGGACCGTTCTTACCGCCCCCGGGACCGTTCTGACCGCCCCCGGGACCGTTCTTACCGCCCCCCGGGACTGTTCTTACGGCCCCCCGGGACCGTTCTGACCGCCCCCCGGGACCGTTCTGACCGCCCCCCGGACCGTTCTGACCGCCCCCCGGACCGTTCTGACCGCCCCCGGGACCGTCTCTGCCGGCAGGGTTCTGTACTCCAGCAATGCTGTCTCTTGGGGAAGTCCATCTTCCCTGAGGCTCAGAAGAATCAGGAACTTCCACCAGATTTCCATGCGAGGGCGTGCTTATCCTGACCTGGAGAATTCCACGGACTGTGTAGCCCATGGGGTCGCACAGAGTCGGACACGACTGAGCGACTTTCACTTCACATATAGGCTACTGTATATAAACTAGATAGCCAGCCGGGAGCTACGGTATAGTCCAGGGAGGTATACTCAGCTTCTTGTAATAACCTGTAAGGGGGAAGACTCTGAAAAAACCGGATACACATGTATGTGTATGTATAGCTGAATCATTTTGCTGTGTAACTGAAACTAACACAACATTGTAAATCAACTAGATTTCAATTAAAAAGAAAGAGACAAGGCCAGAGAGATGAAATAACTTGTCCAAGAATTCAAAGCTATTAAGAGGCTGGTATACAAGCCACACTCTTTCTCAAGTGAGCTGATAATCCTTTCTAGATAAGTACCAAGAAATATTTTTTTTAGGGAAGTAAGCAATGTTTTAATGATGTTCTGAGCTGAGAGTTATATGGGTTCATTCTTTCTGCTTTCCAAAGACGATTTCTTTTCTGCCTATTTGCATTCAGATTTTAAGAGTAGCTTTGCTGAGCAACAATACAAAAGATGCCTTGTAGGAGGACAGGTTTACTAACAGGGTTTGGGACCTGAAGAATTAATAAAGAAGTCCTCATGAAGCAACCTTGGATCTGCAATTCTATAAAAATGTACTGTCAGGAGAAGTGCTTTGCTGATCTTCTCTGTAGCCTTGAACATGTTACTGTCTGTTATGGATGCTTGTCGGTATGTACTACAGTCCTAGAGAAACTTTCCTATTTTCTTTATCCTCTGTGTTCATCTTTCCACCTATGAAACATATCGGGTCCTTAATTTCTTTCTCCATTGGTAAGCTGGAATCTAGACAGCTTATTTCTCTTATCTCTTTCTAACTCCACGGTGGTAGATTTTCTTGTTTCTTATCATTTTTTTGAGAAATATGACTTGTAGGATACTTTTTTGGGGTGGGGGGGAGGAAGCTAAGGCAGCCTTGGGGGAAAGGTGGATGTGAAGCTTTGCCTTTTGGAAAGCAACCTGTACAGGCAGCTGCAATCCTGACCACAGTCTTCCCACTGAACTTGACCAGCGATTACTGTCCTTATTGGGAACTGA